CTCCTACGCAGCCAACCTCTTTTCCTACATGCGCCTTCATATATTAATGCTTGCATGGTGGGCTAGGTGTGCCTTTGAAAGAAAAGACCGTCAATTTGGCTTGCAACAAGCACAGCAGGCGGTGGAAGACGAAATCAGGGCCTGGACGCATGAAGCATGGAAAGAAATGAAACAGGCGTACCGCAAGGAAAAGGAGCAGGCGGCTAAAGAAACCATTGTGCTTACCTATCGCCAGCTGTGGCAGGACCCGCACAATACATTTTCAGAACTGACTAGTTCCCTGGACATCCGGTGGAAACCATGGAGGATCGTTGAATCATCTTGGTACAGAAGGCCTTTCAACTGCTTTGAAGTCCCCTTCCTTCCAACAAACTTCGTCATTGTTTCGGACTGAACACTGACCTCGACGACACCGCCCCCCCCCCTCCCTTCCTGGACCTCCTCCCTCCCCTCCCCAGTCTTCTCTCCCTTCTGGCCCCTCCTTCTTCCCCTTCTTCCCCACCTATCGCCTGTATGACACGCTGAAAACTTCTCCTATGCCCTGTGCCCTCATCCCTATGGAGCGGTTGTAACCTGAAGTACTATCTACAGACGACGCCAACCACACGGCACGACAGCAGAAGCTGGCTGGATGGAGGACCGGAGGAGATGACTCAGTCCACAAAACAGATAAGTTTCGAGGCTCTACACCCACACGCAGATTGCGGACCAGTGAAGGTTGTAACCTGAAGTACTATCTACAGCCGACGCCAACCACACGGCACGACATCAGAAGTCGGTTGGATGGAGGACCGGAGGAGATGACTCTGTCCACAAAACAGACAAGTTTCGAGGCTCTACACCCACACGCAGATTGCGGACCAGTGAAGGTGTGTCGACAAGAGGTCACTTTGCTCAAATGCTCTCCCCGAACTGCCCTGATACACTGCGCTCTAGGGCAACATCGTCATCCACAGATGGCAGAAAAGGGGAGCCCATAATGGATCTACGCACATCATGGTTTAAGCTCGGTCTACCTACACCTTTGCATTGCTGGTCCACGAGTTCTAACCAGGATATGGGAACAGTCACAGTTTGCATAAGGGCATTTGGCATTGCTCTGTGGGTAAAGGGAAGCCTGAAGGGAACAACACAATGTCAGGGTCGTGCACGGTTTAGTAGCAGATTTGTATTGTTGATCCAGGGCCTCTCATCATGATACATAAGACTTATGCATGGTTTAAGCACGGTCTACCTATACCTTTGCATTGCTGGTCCACGAATTCTAACTAGGATATAGGGACATTCACAGTTTGCATAAGGGCTTCCGACAGTGCTCTGTGTGACAGGGGAAGCCTGAAGGGAACAGCACAATGTCATGGTCAAGCACGGTTTAGCTGTAGCTTTATATTGCTGATCCAGGGTCTCTCATCATGATACATAAGACTCAGTGACAAATAGATTGTATGAGGATCCACGCATCGCTCTGCACGAAAGTGGAATCCGTATAACCCGGGCGAGATAACACAGTAAACATTGGTTCCCTGTTATACATGTTGTGGGACGCTAGACCCGGTTTCCAACAGGTGCAGCTCCCCACCAATGGAATGGAGCCATCCGCAAACAACGGCCGTAGAGGGGGTGTCTGCTCTTACCAACACCTCCCCCACGTCCGTCCGCGATGTTCTTTGGCAAAAAAAAAAAAAAAAAAAAAAAAAAAAGTTTTGACTCACTATCATGTTCTGAAAATTGGTGATCCGTCTCTTCCCTTCATTGTCACTACTGATGCAAGTCAGTACGGAATTGGCGCAGTCGTTCAACAGAACGACGACAAAGATTATAGACCTATTGAGTTTTTGTCAGCACGATTGTCATCGGAAAGGTTGCCAACTCCACTTATGAAAGGGAATTATATGCCTTAGTCTATGGACTCTATGCGTTGGACACATGGAAGCACTACTTGTTAGGGATACACTTCACTGTGTACTCAGACCACTCGACACTAAAGTGGATAAAGACACAGCCTAAACTCTCTGATAAGGTAGTACGATGGTCTGCATTCATTGATACTTTTGATTTTGAGTTGAAAACTATCAAAGGTAAATCTAATGTGGTTGCAGATGCGTTGTCCAGACGATGTGATTTCTTTGGTACTGGTATTGTCTTCTACTTAGATATTGGGAATGATGTGAAAGATAAAATTCGTCAACGATATGCTACTGACCCTATCTGGAAGCCTATTATTGATGTCCTTGCGAAAAACCCAATTGTACTTTCCAGCTATAAAGTAACCGATGGTTTGTTTTTCTTACTAGACCAAACTGAACAAAGATTGTGTATTTCCCACGAAGAAGAAAGCAAAAGTCTGCTGACTGGGGAATGTCACGACACTGAGGGGCATTTTGGTTTCAAGAAAAATTACGCTGAGGTTAGCGAACGCTTTGATTGGAAGGGATTGAAAGAGGACGTACTAATTTATGTTTGTGCATGATTGGTGTGCCAGAGAAACAAACATTCGCATGAGAATCCACTTGGTCTTCTGAAACAATTACCGATTCCTAGCGAACAAGGTGAGTCAATTTCGATTGATTTTATGAGTCTCACCAAAAGTCGCAATGGCAAGAACCAAGTAATGGTTATGGTGGATCGTTTCTCTAAATACGCCATGTTTATTGCCTTACCTGCGAAAGCGAGAACTAAACTTGTCATTCAAAAGTTTCAGATGCGATGAGTGACGGAATATGGGTTTCCTGAGTCTATTGTGTCTGATCGCGATGTGAGGTTTACAAGTATGTCATGGCAAAAGTTTATGGAAGCGTATGGCACACGACTAACCATGTCGTCAGGACGACATCCTGAAACAAATAATCAGACTAAACAGATGAACCGTCCGTGCCAACAACTTTTGCGCATGTATGTGAGACCCGATCAGATTGATTGGGATGAGAACTTACTCAAGATTGCAAGTGCATATAAGAGTAGTGTTCATAATGCTACAGGGCGTATGCCTAATGTACTGCATAAACGGTGGAAACCTAAGCATCTCATTGATGTGTTCACACGGAACCAATTTCTTAATTACCTCCAGGGACCCGGGAATATGCAGTATTGTTTCAAGAAGACATCAAGAAAGTAAAAGAGAATCTAAAGAAATCTCAGGCCCAAATGATTAAACAAGCTAACAAGCATCGTCGACCATCTACATTCAAGGAAGGTGATCTAGTCTGGGTCAAGTCCTAAGAGTTTTTATTAGAAGAAGATGTGTCTCAAAAACTACTACCTGTCTATTTTTGTCCCTTGGAAGTTCTCAAAGTGATTGGGGATTTGGAGGGATCGTCTTTTCGTATTGATATTCCCCCTCACCTCAAAATGTATCCTGTCTTTCATGCGTCCAAAATATTACCCTATGTAGAAGGCAAAGAGTTCCCAAACCGACCATTTATGATTCCGCCATCAATGGAAGGCAGGTATGAAATATATCGGATCACAGAACATGAATTTTTTTCTACAGGAGGACGCGGACAACCACAGAAGCAGTTCAAGATACGTTTCAAGTCTCAATTTCCGTCTTAGGACAAATCGTTTAGTAAAAGAGAATTACTTGAAACTGCTCCAGACATTCTGTCTGATTATGAACGTGGGTTAAGGTCTTAATTACTTCTGTAATGAAACTCGAAAATGGGTTGGCAGGAATGCAGTAAGCCGTGTTCTGCAGTAATCTCGGGGCCCGAAACTGTGCCCAGATGACACACGCCTAACACGGCCTGCGCCAGGCAGTGCGACCACGCACTGCCCCTTGGAAAGTCAAGGGTCCAAGTCAAAGGTCAAAGGTACCGTGCCTAGGCCCTCGGTCAGATACACTCACTTGTTGTGTGCAGGTACCCAAGCAGCATCAAGGCCACAGGGAATTCGGTTTCAGGCCAATTTGGGTCATCATTTGCATTGAGATCTCGACGACTGAGGGAAGCAGCACCTGGGGTCCAAAGTCCATACCCCGCGTCAACGCTACATAAGCGTTGACCTCTTGGCTTTGAGGACATTTTGTCTTGCGTCAAATGTTGACATCGCGTGTTGACGAACTTGACGACGACGCTAGCGCGACGCTGGTGGGACGTTCAACTTGGCTCTACGCTGGCAAACGGGCAGACTATGGCGACACTATGCTGGCTCGGCATGGTGGCTGACTTGCAATTGTCTTCAGGGCATCCTGACGTGGCAGCTTCCACGTGTCGCCGCTGACGTGGTCGCTGCCACGTATATCACTGATGCTGACGTGGCGAGGTTACGAGACTGGAATTGTTGTTCTGTTTTAACAACATTCGGGAGGAGATCATGATTGTGGGGCGTTAGTGGATACGTACCTGGTTATCTTGAGGTCGACATTGCTCCATCTCGCTGATGAGGACTGATTGACGTGCCACGTGGGACATTGTGATAGAACTTCTGAATCAGATGCGCATTAAGATTATTGATTACTGAGGTGGTGATCGAGGAGGGAGTCCGAAGCAGAAGTGGCATTGTCTTCCATTCTTCCTCTAAGTCTATTCTCCCTCCTCTCTCCTTCGTCTGTGTATGTTTTTCCCATCTCATTGTATCTGGACACAATTATGATTATTGACAATCATCATCAAGTTGATATTTATCGGGCTTGCATTGTTGACAAGTGTCTTCACGATCTGGGTTCATTGCACATGCCTCTTCTTATTAGGGTTGGACGAGCCTCAGTCATTGCTCCGGTGGAGAGAGATTCCCTTTGTGGCACGAATATAGCACAGGCAAGGGCCGAGCGTTGTCAATGATTGCTTCCCCGTTAAATCACCAGTTCATGGGCACCATAACCTTGGGCCTTACACCTCAAATTCTGGAGGCGCAAAGTGAAAATGTGACCGCTGATCCAGTTGATCAACGGCAGGCCCAGCGTTTGATGTTTCGGCCTCGTTTTTTTGCGGCGACAAGTTTCAGACTGCAAGGCTGGGGCCATGTACTTATGGTTTAAGGAAGCCTTTCTCGCTTCTGGCCCCTAGTACCCCTACCCCTACCCCTTCTGCTGCCCCTGTCAAACTAGTTCTGCAATCGTCTCGATCCCCAGTGCTCCTGCCAATGTACCTATGGCCGGGGGCTCCGGGGGTTACGGTGGGTACGGCTATGGGTATGGAGGGGGGCTGAGGCCATGTGTAGAGACTCTCGAGGCCACTATCGCAGGGATTAAGGTGCATCAGGATGCTGAGATTGCCAAAGAGAGAAGAAAGAGAGAGGAGGAGGAGCGTATTAAGAAGGAGAATGAAGAAGAAGAACAGAGACTACGGGAGAAGAAGGCACGGGAAGATTTTCAAACTGAGATGAAGAAAGAGATTAACAGTAAGTTGGATATTACTAAGATGAAAGTGGAGATTGAAAGTTTGCGTAAGGCACTGCGCAACGACAATGGTGCGTCGTCTTCGGAGAATGCCTTCGACAAGTATAAGCGTGAGTTAGAGGAGAAGAGGGCGAGGTCCGACCGCCGGCTTGCTGCGATGGAAGATGAGATAGCAAGGTTGAAAATGGTTAATGATGAAGCCGTTGATGCCGCTGATGTATGGAAGCGTGAGGTGCTCCGACCTGGCAACAAGCGTGGGAGCGTTGCTGTCACAGCTACCCCTATACCTAGGACGAGGACTTGTGCTCGTGTGACTCCGATACCATCGCCTTCCGTTGAAGATCTGAAGTTGAAAGAAAAGGTGGAACATCAAGAGCGTGAAATTGAGCTTTTGAGAGAGTGGTGGCTACGTGAGCTCAACGGACGGCGGCAGGCGGAACAAGAGGTTGATCGGTTGAAAGAGAAGATGGCTCGACTAGAGGTTGGGAGGCGTACCCCGTTGGCTTCCAATCTCAAGACACGTTTGGATAAAGTGGCTACTGCGACAGCTGGAAAAGGAAAAAGGCCGATGAGCCCTGCTACGCAAGCTGTGGAGGCCAATGACCGTGAAGCATTCCTTGTCGATACTAGAAGAGCGCTGGAAACGCTGAAGAAGGAGAAAATTGTGGAGCTCTTTGCGAAAGAAGGTGTTTCTTATTCCACTCTGGAGAAGACGAAAGAAGAGTTAGTGCTGAAACGTGCTGAGGTAGCCTTTGGCAAAGATCGGATCGGTACATTGAAGAAAAGTGGGGTGGTGCTCCGTGATGTTACCGAAGATGCTGAGCAGGGCACTGACAACAGTACCGAGGTCAACGATGACTCTGCTCATTCGTGAGGTTGTTCCCGGACGTGACGTGGCTGTGGAATCTCCTGCGTTGTTGTGTTCAGTTTCGACTGTTGTCTAATGATCTTATTCGATGTAGATCGCTCAACACTCTTCTTTGCCTGATCATTCTTTCGTTGATTGTGTTGGGTGAGATACCCTGATAAGCTGTGTGGTTTCCTTCTTTGTTTGACTACGAGTAAGTTTGACTTTGAGGCGACGAGTGGTCCGTTGGTTTATGCTTCGTTTTCTCCGTGGTGCCGTCACCGATATATTGGGAGTACTACTCGGGATCTTCATACGAGATGGGGAGAACATGTGTATAGGGCCTGCAATTCTGAGTTAATTAACAGAGGAAGTAGAAACGAGAAGCTTTATCGATGGTTGCGCAGGACTGGTGCACACAAATATTTTGTTATCCCACTCTGTGTATTTACTAAGGAAGACGTGAGGACATGTGAGAAGTTTTTTATACGTTTATTTTCTCCTTCGTTAAACACTAGGGACAAAGCGAAGAAGTCTAAACGTTCACATTATGGTCTAAGGGAAAGATTAAGGCGATCCAAACGGAAACAACGTTCGGCAGTTTCGACAAGTTCGGTAGATAAGTCCCTGGTGACTTTCTTTCCCAGCTTTGGTGGTTGCTCATAAAGTCTTCTTTCGATTTTGGAGGAGTGTCGTGAGAAGTCGATTTATCGCTTTGCTGTCATGTGTCGGGGTGGGGTGTTGTTTGATGACAAGTGGAAGGTTTTGGGACGTTCTTATGGTGGTTCTATCGTGTCTTGTTCCTTTGGTCGTGGGTTGTTTCGACATGTTCGTAGATGGATCAAAGAGGGCATCACTATCACTTTCGAATCTGTGGCCCCCTTTCTCAGTCAATCCTTAGCTCTGAAACCCTCTCTCGTTCGGTTGCTTAGTTGTCCTTCTACTCGTGTATCTCTTCGCTCCTGGACCTTTGACTCTCTAATTGTGGCGTTTACAGCAGTACGAACGTTTAGTGAGAAACACACACATGGACGGTTGAGGTGTATTCTTTCGAAGAGTATTTCGACGAGATTCGGGGTTCAAGTACGTGAACGTTTGGTCGTTAAGTTGGTGTATGATGACTACATTAAGAAGTCGCAGGTGAGGCGGCTCTGCGCTCGATTGATACAAGAACTGGGTATTCCGTCGGTATGGAAGGAGGTGTTGATTAGACGCATGCGTATCGTGTGGTGCCGGAATCGCACTGTCAGTGACTTCTTGCACAATTTCCGCACACATGCCAGAAGTAGTGATGCCATTTGCCGTTGTGATTCGACTGCTGGGGACTTCCCTACCTGAGGTGGGCATGTGTCTCTTAGGATTTCAGAGTTGGATACCTTTCCTTCGTGGATGAGAAACAGTAAGAATATCCTCCGACCCTCTCAATCTCATTCGTCTGCTTCGCTCAAGAGGCAGATTTTGTAAGCTTTCCACTCGCACTCCTCTCTCCCCCCTCTTGATCCTAGTTCTCCTGTTTTTGGTGATCTCTTGTCCTGTTTTTGCCTGGCCGATGGCTCAACTTCCTGTGTCTCTACCCACAGTGAGGATGATGTGCTACCCTTTCTTGGGATGCTGCAAGAGATGGTGTGTTGCCCCCAGGACCATAATATGGGGGACACATACGTCTGCTGCCCTGTGATTTATCGATCCGGTATGGAGAAGTTGTATTTGAATAATCCTGCTTTCTCGTTGAGTGTTAGTGGGTAACGGCAGGTGTTGGAGGAGGTAGCTGTTTCTTATAAAAGCAAGGGTTTGGAGGCTGTGGAGAAATGGAAGCCGGATCGGGAATTTGGACGGGCCTACTGGTTACCGAAGTTTAAAGACACTGAATGGTGGAGACCAATCTGCCCTTCCTACCCTGAATGCTCGGCTGCTGGGGGGAAGCTGATATCCAAAGTTGTCAACTGCATGTTGTGGAATCTACCCCTACGATCCAATCTGAATTTGAGGTGTGAGGAAGATTTGGTGGTGAATATTAAGAGCGTCAATAAAAGTGTGAAGAAGAATGATGGCCTGGTGGGAGCATCGTATGATGTAAAAGAGATGTTTTCCAACCTTCCTCACCCCTCTATTCTACAAGCTGTTGCATGGGCTGGAACCAGGAGTATACGACAGTAGCGGTTAAGAAACGGGGAAGGGAAACCAAACTTGTAAAGAGACGAGGTGAGGATGGCTGGCTTGTTCTGAAGTTCCATTCAATTTTTGAGTTCGTAGAATATGAATTGCTCAATACTTACGCGATGGCTACCGGCTGTTTGTTGCAACAGAATGTGGGCATACCTATGGGCAAGTCTTCTAGCCCGGCACTGGCTTGTCTTTTATGTGCTTACAACGAGTTTCTCTTTCTCTCATCCTTAGGATCGGATAGGGTACTGTTTCATGGTTTCTGGCTTGTTGATGGCGTCTCGGTGTTTGTGAGCTACCATAAGGGGGATGAAGGCTCTTTGGTACGAGCTTAGCAGATTTTGAGTGAATTCCAGAATAGTTACGATAAGAATCTGACACTTGAACAGACTAATATCGGGGATTGTTGGGAATACCTTCGTTGTGTGTTGAAGGTCTTTAACGAAGTGAGTGAAGTGGTGAGTCTTCCATGTCACAAGAATCAGCCGTAAAGGACCTGCTGGTCTTTCAAAGCATTCAAGATTATTGCTCATTTTCGAGCAAACAACAGAAGATTGCAGTCGTGGGGTCTTTTTTGCGTCGTGCTAAGAGGTTTGCTACTGTTCCGGGCACTGAGGTTCCATTTTTATTCACTTTAAAATTGGAGTTGTGGAAGCGATGTTATCCTGACGAGGTGTTTGACAATGCTCTGACTAACTTCTCACGGAAGTTTGGGGGGATATGGCAGCAATGGATACCCGTGCTAACAGGATGGGACAGAATCTGTCGATCTTAGGGGCTCTGATGGTTGACCCCTGTTGTTTTTTTCTTACGTGCCCCATTCGGGTGGTTCTTGTTGTTTGAGGTTTCGAGCTGTGGTCAGTGAGGTGTGTGTTTTGGTCGTAGATTTCGGTGTTGGACCGGTAGTTTTTTCAGTGCCCTTTGGTCGGGTTTTGAACTGGTGACGTCGGGCACTATTGTGTTATTCCGAACGTAGATGAGGTCGGTGTTTTTTTCTTTTCAGGAACTGGTTGACAATGTAGAGTTGACTGTCCTCGAACCAGTGACTAAAGCGAAGGTTTTATCAAGGTAGCTGTAGTATTTTTCTAGAGTTTACAGGAACCGTAACACAGGCTATAGGCAGTACCTTGAAACCTGTAGTACTTCTAGAATTTCTTAGACATCCGCCTACAAATAGCATCAGTCAGTTCAGTTCCTTACCAACAGACCCCTGATGAGTGCAAGCATTGGCGGCCAACTGAAACCGGTCGGGTCGCTTCGCCAACCGGATGCTTGCATTCGGAGTTGTGTTTCATGCTTCTTCTTTAAACGCCGCGTTCGGGATTTCTTGACTTAATCTTCTCAATCTCCTTCCTTCTTTCTCCTTGTCCCATCTCCTTTCCTATTTCGTGGTGTGTCCTGTTGGTGTGAATGTGTTGATTGGCTTGACTTTGTTTCTGGCTCGGTTGCTATCATTGAAGTTTCTGTGAAGTATCGTCGTCATTACGACAGCATGAGTAATAGACCGGCCCCAAGCAGAAACAACCAAAAACCAGCAGGATATGTGCCTCCCTTTAGCAAAGTTCACGTGATAAACAATCTGGAAGGGAGAGGGGTAATTAGGCAGGAGCATCGCCAATAGCATGCCGCGCAAAGTCATTCCTTAGTAGGCGGGTTAGTTTCACAGTGTAAGTTACTTTTTTTTTTTTTTTTTTCAAAACATAAGCCGGCAGTGTGTGTCTGCGGCGATACAAGCAGCACCGAGTACCACCCCCCCAGATGGCTCCTGTCTATTGGCAGGGAGCTGAACCTGCTGGAAAGCCGATCAATACAGACACAAAAGGGCCAGCGCCATTACCCGCTGTGGACTAAATTGGCAAGCTATACGTTACATTGCTATTTTAGTATTGGGGTAACTTGGGCGCAGTCACGAAACCAGTTTGAAAATGCATTTCAGGCAATCCCACGAACACAACACCGGACCCAAAACCTAGGTTGTATACATTCACCAATATGGACCCTTTTGCCTCAAGTGCATTTTCAAACTCAAACCCTGACTGCACCATAGTTTTTTTAGCTTTTTTCTTTAGTATTTTAGCTATCTATTTAGTATTTTCGCTATCTATTTTCGTGTTTTCGCTATCTATTTGAGTATCTTCGCTATCTTGTGCAAAGGGCCAGGGCCATTACTGGCTGTGGACGAAATTGGCAAGGCCTATGTTATATTACTACTGCTGCCGGCTACTAAAAGATGGAAAATCAAGAATATTCTGGAACTGAAGCTTGCCGTTCACATCACCTTGCTGGTTCTTGGTCAACGGAAAACACAGAACCCCAGTCTGACCTTCACAAACGTGGAGTACGCACCCCAAGTAGTCCCAGCATTCACCCACACTAGTTCTTTCTAACACCAGGTTATTGGGCCTCGCTGCACTACTCTTGAATCTTGAAAACTTGAAGTTTCCACAGTTCCCGCCTGCAGGAGCTTTTTTTTCAAACGAGGCCAATGTGTCCCTTCATGCGGTTTGCAAATTCGAGAGATGGTCTCCAGTCTCAGTGGACAAATAGTCGATGCCCTGTCGTGTAGTGTCTGTCCGACAGTAGAGAATGCTCACGAGAGTTGAGAGTCTGGAGTAAGTGCAGCGACGACAGCACTTGATGCCAATCCAGGAGTCTGACAGCGTTAGACGAACTCTTGAAAATTTTCATGTGTCTAGCGTAATGCATAGCTCTTGGCCACGCAACCTGTCAAAAAAATTGGAGGGAAAAAAAAAAAAAAAATTGCCAATGGAGACGGGAAGAAAATTTGCAAGTTAGTTAGTGGTCAGAAAATGCTTCTCTTCGTCCTCTACACCTCCTCCTCTTGAAAGTTGTTGAATCCCCAGCCTGGTACTCCCATGCTTTCCACAGTCCTCGGTTGTGCTATCTACTTCTC